ATATGTGTGTAATATCATTTTCATATTCTTAAACAATTCAAACTACTTGTTTGAATTGATGATATATTAATCTTTTCCGGAACATCAAATTAGCCATTAACAGGAATGAATGCATACAACTATTTTTCTTTTATTAACATAGAGAAACATATTATAAGAGAGACTCAGAGACAGTAACTGTGAATATCATTAAGCTTCGTTTGAATTATTAAAACTAATCATTGATATAGAAAAGTGGGAAAGTTGAACCATGAAAGTAATACAAGGATACAAATGGAGAAACGGTCGTTTTTAGAGGGACCTCTTAAGGATACGTGGCTTAGAAATTCACAAACGGTCCCACTTGTTGAAAAATATGGGCCACATAATTAAAAGTAGTTTTGGCCCATTTATGGATAATTTGATTTGACTTATTAACAAAGGCCGAATCCGTTCTCCACCACATTGGTGGCTTGAAGGAAATGTTCAATTCCACAAAATTTGTAAAACGATTGTCCATATATCATTTCCTGATTTTTTATTTATTTAATGTATGCGACTTTGTAAAACCAATATTGTAGATGTTTTTCTAAAAAAGTATATACTTCTAGTTCTAACTAATTAAGAAATTATAAATCGGATACTGAAGATTTTTTTTATAATATAATTAAGACATCATATTCATGAATCATGATACTGTATAAAGGAAGATTGATAAAGTCTGAGATAAGGAAACAGACGTCTAGAATTGGAGCCATTATGGCGAAATTTAAGTGCCATTGCACTAAATGTTCAAAAACGACGTAACGCCGTCGATACTTAGTATGAAACATAACGTCGTTGATACTTTTTTGTAATCAAGAAGTTTGGACCAGATGAAACCAAATGCTTCATGCGTTTTTTTTTTTTTTTCTTCTTCTGTAATCAAGAAGTTTGGACCACTTGGGCTAAGAAAACCAAAACAATTGTATTTTTTTTTTTTTGGGGAATCGAAAAACATTTGTATTTCTTGCTTTTAAATTGAAGAAAGTTTCCAAAAAAAAAAAAGGTTTGGACCAGAGATACAAACATGGAAATTAGTTGTGTTTTTAATGCTCGAACTCACCATGGTCCGTGTATTTCTAAAAGCTAACTCCAAATTCATCCTAGCTCAGCCAATAAGATTTGTTAGAGCATCCT